AAAAAAGCCTCATCCACCTCTTCTTCCTGGTTAGGTGATCTGTAGTAGGTAATGGAATAAGACAAATGTTTCAACCTTCCCATATACTTGACTCATTGAAATCTTGTATATAGGCTACTTTGAAGCCTTTCTTTTTTTTTTTTTTTTTTTTTTTTTTAAGATTAATGGTAATTTTTGCCATTATTTTTCTTAATTGAAAGTTTCTTCTGCTACAGAGAATTCCACTGTGAATTTCCCTCTTTCAGAATGATGGCCATCTCCCATTGTTCTCAAAGGAAGTGAGGCTAAAAATGCCCTTAGTAAAGATGTCCTCTTTAAATTGGCCACTATGAAGGACATAGGGCTGATCTGTAATTTATGTGACCTGATTATTTAGATAGCTACTGTAAAAGTACTAGGTCAAAGCGCACCACGTAACCTTTAGTATCGGGTAGCCGGGTTCACCCTGTGCTCTAGCCTGCTGCAAATTACGCCACAGCTTGCTGTGCACTAACTCTGTATAGACATGCCCTTGCTCTCTCTAGAAAGGTGGGGGACAAGCAGTTGTCAGGGACTGTATGTGAGGAACCGGATGACACAATCAGGCCTTGCAGCAGGGTTCTGAAGTAGTTGGGCCTTCCAGGGGGATGGTAAGCATAAGGTGAGATCAGGGCCGGCTCTGGCTTTTTTGCCGCCCAAAGCAAAAAAAAAAAAAAAAAAATCAGGGCAGCCAGAACGGCAAAGCAAAAAAAAACAAAAAACAAACCTGCGGTGCGGCAGGAGCAGCAAAGCAGAGGAAAAAAAAAAACCTGCGGGGCGGCAGGAGCCAGGGTGCAGGGGGACTCCCTGCACTGCAGACGTGCCCCAGCTAGCGGAGGGGAGAGGGAGGGAGCGGGGAGAGAGAGAAGGGGGGCGGCCAGGGCTTCAGCGGGGCGCTCGCCACACGGCCCCGACCGCCGCGCCGCCTGCCGGGAGGGCACCGCGCCGCTCCGGTCGGCGGGGAGGGAAGGACGCAGGCTGCCCAGCTGGGCTTGCTACAGACCTGGCACCAGCTGGGGCAGATGGAGCGTGCAGCCCGCTCCCAGCAGGGCGCTCCCCGCCTCCGCCCCCTACAGGGCGGCCGGATCGGCCAACCAAAAAAAAAAAAAGCCGCCGTGCCGCCCTAGGATTGGGCGGAATGCCGCCCCGTAGAATTGCCACCCCAAGCACGAGCTTGCTCTGCTGGTGCCTGGAGCCGGCCCTGGGTGAGATAGACACCTATTTAGACTGTTTTATTGTTTTTAAATCCTTTTACTCTTCTGCTTTTCTGTGTTCCTACTGTTAAGATTAAACAGTACTTTAAGAAAGCTGCTTGGGCACTCTGCTGTACACTGGTCACAGCTCCTGAAGGGAAAGCTTGCAGGTGTCGAGTCCAGTTGGACTTACTGAGAAATTGTAGTTAGTACACAGGAAGCTTTAGCCTAAGACTCTAGGAGCAAGAGAATCGTGAGATTCCAATACAAGAGGTAAAGGTTGAGGGCTTGTCATCTGAGGTGGTGCACTGAGAGGGATCAGAGGTGTCAGGAGGTGCAGCTAGCCCTGTAATCTTGACAGCCACTGCCTCTATTCCAGGGGTAGGCAACCTATGGCACGTGTGCCAAAGGTGGCACGCAAGCTGATTTTCAGTGGCACTCGCACTGCCCAGGTCCTGGCCACCAGTCCAGGGGGCTCTGCATTTTAATTTAATTTTAAATGAAGCTTCTTAAACATTTAAAAAATCTTATTTACTTTACATACAACAATAGTTTAATTATATTTTATAGACTTATATGTATTAAATGTTAAAATGTATTACTGGCACGCGAAACCTTAAATTAGAGGTTACAGACCCCTGCTCTATTCATTCCTAATAGAAATGAAGCCTAGCTGTCCTTAGGGAAGATGTTGGTTCAAGATAGCATATGTGAAAATGATTATTAACTGGAAAAAGTTCCAATTGCAGAATCGTTATTATTGGTGGGGATGCCTTGGCTAGAAAGAACTTTTACTTTCAGATCCCAGATTGAGAGAGCAGAGCTGGAATTGATAAGACAATAGGCATGGAATCACATGATGTCACTTTTTTCAAAGTAAAACCACATGTTAGTTATATAATTCTTCTGTATGGGGATTTCAATAGGGGATTAATCTGAGCGATGTCCATAGGGCCAAAGACATGCTTTTTTGTAGGCTGTGCTAAAGTATTAATAAATGTATTAATCGGTAAAATATTTACTACTTTATTGAATGAAGCTGTACTCTTCCATTAAATTAGGTCAATATTAAATCATTTTTAATTCAGTGTTTTCATCAAGAGTAATTTATTTTGATTGAAAGTTTTAATATGATTCACAGTTTAAATTCATTCAAACAGATTTTTTTAATAATGTTAAGATTGTGACAATTTATCCTTAGCAAAGTCATATCATAGACTACATTTCTTTCAGTTGCTAAAGTTACAATAAAAGCTTAAATGAATTTTAGAAATATCAATAACTGTAATTGCCACCAAAACATTCCATCTCTTAAAAATTTCATAGCTACAGTTATTGTGGCTGTTAAACTGCAGCTGTCCACATTGACATTTTTACGTTGATACCCCCAGGTAATCTTCATTATGGGAAATGCTACTAGAAAATAAAATGCAATGAATTAAGAAGCATATTAAGAATGCCTTGTAAATGAGAGCAAATAACATTTCTGTCTAGTTCTATGTCAGTTTTTAGTTTTGGATACAAATGACTGGATGAGATTTCAGTAAATTTTACCCCCGAGAAAGGAGGGAAAAATCCTTTAGGAGTACTTAACGGAACTGTAGTTTAGGGCTAGATGCTGAGTAAAGTGCTGTGCTTTGTAAGGCAGAAAACAAGTCTTAAATGTAAAACTTTTTGAGGAGTGGGAGTTGAATGGATTGTCCTGCATCAGAGTGAAAGTATTGTGGTGTTGAAGTCTG